AACACGTTGTATTTAACTCATCATTTGTAGTTAACTGCATGCATGCTTTTTTTTCCTTTATTGATTTTAGAGAGAGAGGAAGAGAGAGAGAGAGGTATCGATGAGCGAGAACATCTATTGGCTGCCTCCTGCATGCCCCCCACTGGGAATCGGGTCCACAACCTGGACATGTGCCCTGACTGGGAATCAAACCTGTGACCTCTTGGTGCATGGGTCGATGCTCAACCACTGAGCCACACCGGCTGGGCTGCATGCATACTTTTTTTTTTTTTTTTTGTGGTACGTACCCCTAGCAGGAACCGAACCTGGGACTCTCTGGTCCGCAGGCTGATGCTCAACCACTGAGCCAAACTGGCCAGGGCTGCATGCGTACTTTTAAATGGTAGCTTAGAAGGCTTTGTTCAATTCATGTGACTGGATATGGCAGAAGTGAGAATTCAGATCTTGAAAAAAAATCCCTATAAAATATTTAAATAAAACATTGCATGGAATGCTTTCTTAAGGAACAACTACTAACATAATTGGACTGCAAACACTTTTTTATTATTTGAAATTTGAGAAAGAAATGTACTAGGTGAAAAACATTCTTCTCATTTTGGGGAAGAGTACTTTTGAGAGTTTATATAAAAAGATATTTTTCTTTTTCTTTTTTGTATTGTATCAGGAGCTTTTAAAATTTTAGATGATCGTTTCCCACACTTAGAGCTTAAATTAACTTTCACATGTGTCATTTTGGGAGAAAAAAACTTGTTCTGCGCATATGAAATGCCACCAGAAAATTATTTTCTTTTTTAAGTAGTATAACATTGTCTCCGAAATGTATACATTAGAAATTTTGCCAAGTCTTACTTTTCCTTGGGAATTTGCGTAGAGCTTGTCAATCATGTAAAAGTAGTTGACTTCTGAGCCTTCGCTCTTGCCTCTTGCTCTTGTCTGAGGACATTATCTCTAGGTCTTTACTGGAGACAGGCCTGCACAAGACATCATTTCTCCACCCTAAGTCCAATCTCAGTAAACGCAGAAAGTTTAGGCTCTACATGGAGAAAGTAATAAGAAAGTGCTCTTGGCTTTTGTTGAATCTTTGAACTCTCTCCAAATCCCCTACGTCTCAAGAGAACTGACCTGTTTGGTTCAGTTTTCTGAGCATATCAGTGTGGAGTTTAGAGAAAAGAGGACACGTTTCCCATAACTACACTTCATATATACTACTGAAATAAGAAAGAAAGGCCGATGCCTTTTAATTGTTTTATTAACAAGCATACAGCACTAATCCACTCTAGATTGAAAGAATTTGAAATATTCCACCTTTGAGATAGTTGAATATCTAGTATTTTGGGTCTTAGGGCAAATTTGTGAAGTATGTAGCATGCCTAACCTCCTTTTTGCTATACACAACTTATACCCCGTTCCATGGTATTTTCTCCTCTACATTTTCTTTGTGCGTCTCAGAACATATATTGACCCCCTACTCTCTGTCAGTGAGGGTTAAATGATGAGCAATACTGTGGTCAGTATTTTTAAATTTAGATTTAGGAATCAGATGATTGCAAACATATTATGAAATCTTGTGTGGCCTTATTACTGAGAGAACCGTAGGCAGGCCATGGAAGCAGATGAGATACCTAATGGTTAGCTGGGAACACGGGGTTGCTGGGATGGCTTTCTGTAGGTGATGCCTGAGGAGACTGTATCCACTTGGCTATTAGACTGTGTGCTCAAGTGGTGACCAGCTATCAGATCTCTTAGCATTAATGCAAGTAAATATAGTCATCTTCTTGAGGATATTTAATTTGCAAGTATTTTCTCCTGAGTCAACTGAGAGTCTTTGCTTTGGGCAACAGTAGTGGTTCTTTACTTAGTGTGATCTACTGGTGACCTCCCCCCTTCAAAACATGTGGTGACTGTGTTTATAAACTCATGCATATTTTTTGCATACAGCTTGTAGGAAATCACAGACTGGAAGCCCCCGTGAAGCTGATCCCTGGAAGCCAGCTTCCAAACTGAAGGGCTAAAGATTACTGGGGAATCTGGAAGTGAGTGGAACAGACATGATTTCAAGTTAGGGTGTAGGGAATCACAGTCTTGGACTGTTTATTCTTACCACACACTCTTTTATATAAAATGTGTTTATTCTGTCTCCTGTAATAAAGGAACTCTGTCTTTCTTGGTTTCCGATTAAAAGAATTTTTTTTTTGTAGTACGATGAATGCAAATAGCCTTCAGGAGAAAAGCAAAGCCTGTGGTTTTCCATGTAGTTTAAAAATCATTCTTCTTGACATTTTATTTTGAGCTATTGGTTAACTCCCAACCCATTTTTGACCATAGGAATCCAAGCAGAATTCCAGATAGGAAATAGTCGAATTGCACTTGAGCATTTCCCTCGTGTTGTCATCTATAACCGGTTTCCTATATTGCTTTCAGTTCTGCTGTTGCTAAACCTCAAATCACTGTGCTACATGGGTTTAATGAGTGATCATTCATAGTCTTAAAACTATTACAAATATTTCAGAGACTAAATAGCAAACATATATATTAGATTATAATGCAGATTCTAAAGCCATATTAATATAAATTGTCATTATGCAGCATGCTATACCAATGCATAAGTAAAATATTTTAGCATGCAGAAGTAGGACACCCTGATTTCCTATTCACCCAAGAAGGATGAGTTAAGGAAACTCTAAAATGTGTGACATATAAAGAAAGCAATTGTATGTTTTAATCTATGTGATAGCCGCCCTGGCCAGATAGCTCAGTTGGTTAGAGCATCGTACCAATACACCAAGCTTGCAGGTTCTGTCCTTGACCAGGGCACCTTCTAAAATCAAACAGTGAATGCATAAATAAGTGGAGAAACAAATCTGTGTTTCTCTTTTTCAAATCAATCAATGAAATATTTTTTTTAAAACTATGTAATAGGTTGAAAATTCTAAGATTTCTATTTTTTTCTATTGATAATATTAAGATTTAAAGATATATTAGACTTACAGTCTATCAATTTTGCATGTAAATGAATTGGTTTTGTCCTTCACTACTACTTGTTCTCAAAGAAATATTTGATTTTCTCCTGAAGCAATTTGTGGCATATTCAGAACCACCTAAGCTATTCTGAAGCTATTAGTTCAGAAAAAAAAAAATGACAATAGATAAGAAATGGCTTTATGTACTCTAGAATAGTTTTGTCTGCTTTAAATAAATTTTTTTTTTCTTTATTGATTTTAGAGAGAGAGGAAGGGAGAGGGAGAGAGAGACAGAAACATCTATGAGCAAGAATATTGATTGCACTACCCCCATTCCCCCCCATACACAACCTGGGCATGTGCCCTGACCGGGAATAGAACTGGTGACCTCTTGGTGTGTGGATCGATGCTCAGCCACTGAGCCACACCGGCCAAGCTAGTGTTGTCTCCTTTTAACAGTCATCTGGCCTCATGCCTTTTCTTCTCCCCAGAAGTAATGTTTTCGCTTCTGTGAAGTGTTGTGTCCTTGGATTGCTGACCTGTGTTTGAGATAATCCATCAAGACATGAATCCCATTGCATGTGAAAAGTCATTACAAGAAACTAAAAATCTAAAACACATTTGAGTTTTATTTTACCGTACTACTTTTATTATATAAATGTAGTACTGAAAAATTGTGTTTTGTTTGGTTGGGTGCCTTAGCTTTCAAGTCAACCAGCTAATTCAGAAGGAAGTAAAAGTTTATTCTTGCAGGAAAAAAAAAAAACTACTAATAAAAATGATGACAATGATTATTATTTGTAGTAATGGGAGCTTGTTAAAAATGTAGGATTTGAGGCCTCTCTCCAGACCTACTAAGTTAGAGCTTGCATTTTAACCAGCTCCACTGTGACTCCCATGCAAATTAATGCTAGAGAAGTATAATCTTCATGTCTCTAGTTGTCCCCCAGCACTAAGAAAGGAAGAGACAGGCTGTGACTCACTGCCAGTCAGTGCACACAGCCATCTGTGTAATAAATACACATGATGGGAGATTTAAATAACTAGTTAACTTGTTATTAAAGTACTTGTTATATTAAAGTACCGTAAAATCTAAAAAAAAAAAAAAGAAGAAGAAGAAAATGCAAAATTTATTTTTATAAAATTAAACAAGCCTTTTAAATAATTGCAAAATATTTGATTAGGCAGGTTACCTATTTCCTGGGATGTCTGGTTGTAGGGCAAGTGGAGCATCGCAGGTTTTTGTTGCATGTATATGAAGCTGAGCAGAATCTGGATTCAATTTTAGGTGTCAAGACCAACCTCTTAGCCAGTGCTATAAACTGTTCCACAGTCTTTTCATGACTTTGTTTCTATGATAGTAAAACATAGGAAACATCTCCTTACTTCTACAGACTGCCATTCCATTGACATTTGGGCAGAAGAACGGGGTTAATGAGAGAATTCTAATAAAATGTTTTCTGTATGTTGAACTGATAACCTACACTGAACTAATTTTTATTGGCTTCCTTTCTGAATTTACACATAAATCTCATGTCAGTTTTTTATGAGGGAACTAAACTGGGTAAAAAATTTTATATAATAAACCTTTGATCAAAGCCTAAAACATTGTATAACTTTTCAGGATTAAAGTTTAAATTTCATAAATTATTTTTATAAACTAGCTTTTTATAACTAAAATTTATAAATATTATGGTTTGACTCTAGTAAAGGACAGTGATTTGAAAAGTGTGGATTTTGTCACTTCCTACATTTTTTCATGTATTTCCCTACTTTTGGTTTTACAGAAGAAAAATCTAAAGCAAATTTATAAAAAGAAAATTTGTAAACCTGTTTCAAAAAAACAAATATCTCAGAATTTTCAAGGCATTTGTCAATATTTTGCTATCTTATTATTAATTTATTATTTCTCTTAAATTTGCTGTTTTTTAAAGTTATATTTTGATGTCTGTTATGGTAAGTTTCTATTGAGCCTTATTTGCATTGATTTTTCTTTTAAATATTTTATTTTTTAATTGAACTTTTTTTTTTTTTTTTTAGCTGTGTTTTGGGGTGATATTGCCTTAGATGATGAAGACTTAAATATCTTTCAAATTGATAGGACAATTGACCTTACACAGAACCCCTTTGGAAAACTTGGACATACCACAGGTATGGTTGATTATTTGTTTCAATTTGCATTCATTAAAAAAAATATATACTTTTGAAATGCTATAAATACTCTGGATCATTTTTAATGTCTCTCTGATCAACTTTGATTTTCTAGACACAAATGAGCCTATTTAGAAATTTAAGATTTGTTCATAGTTTTTATTTCATTAATTAGGTTACTTAACCAATAGGTTCTGGTATTTACTCTGCACCAAGCCTGATTTAAGTGTTTTGGAGATATTAACTCTTTTAATCCTCAGAAGAACCCCAAGAGGGTAGATGCTAAGATAATTGTGATTTATAAGCGAGGAGAATGAGGTCTAGAAGGTTATGTTTTGCTTATTGTCCCATAGACAGTAAGTGTCTGAGTCACAACCAAAATTAAATTTTGAGAAAGGCCAAATTTAACTCTTGAGTATTATATTCTGTTGCCTCCCATTTCCAGTTGCAAACACTGAGTTTTAAAATGTAAATTATTCATAGAGCAATATATACACACAATTATTTGGAAAAATTCATCTATCTTTTTATATAGTGTTTATGAAAACCCAGAAGACGATTTCAATCATAGTTGTTTGACACATTTGAATTGTGCCTGTGTGAGACTTGAGATATTTAAAAGGTTGTTTGGGTTCTCATTTTAAAATAATTTTATTAAAATTTACTTATCTTGATATGAGTTTTATTCTGATTATATTTTGGAGAACATGCAACATTAAAAATTCTTTTTTTTTAATCTTTATTGTTGAATGTATTACAGATCCTCATTTTCCCTCCATTGACCCCCTCTTCCCCAACCCCGAACCCCTCCTGCCTTTTCCCACACTATTCTCTGGGTCCTTTGGTTATGCATATATGCATGTAAGTTCTTTGATTTATTTCTTCCTACCCTCAACCCCCTTCCCTTTGAGGTTTGTCAGTCTAGCAACCAATTTGTACTTCTTAATCCCTTCACCTTTTTCACCCATTCCCCCAACCCCCCTCCCATCTGGCAACCAACAAAATGTTCTCTGTATCTATGAGAATGTTTCTGTTCTGCCTGTTCATTTTGTTTGTAGATTCAATTGTCAATAGATGTGTATTCATTGCCATTTTGTTTGTTCATATTTTTGATCTTTTTCTTCAAAAAGACCCTTCAACATTTCATATAATAATGGTTTGGTAGTGATGAACTCCTTTAACTTTTTCTTGTCTGGGAAACTCTTTATATGGCCATCAATTGTAAATGACAGCTTTGCAGGATAGAGTAATCTTGGTTGTAGGTTCTTGCTTTTCATCACTCTGAATATTTCTTGCCACTCCCTTCTGACCTGCAAAGTTTCTTTTGAGAAATCAGCTGACAGTCTTATGGGAACATCCTGGTAGGTAACTAACTGCTTTTCTCTTGCTGCTTTTATGATTCTCTCTTTGTCTTGAACCTTTTGCATTTTGATGATGATGTGTCTTGGTGTGGGCCTCTTGGGATTCATCTTGTTTGGGGCTCTCTGTGCTTCCTGGACTTGTATGTCTGTTTCCTTCACCAAGTTAGGGAAGATTTCTGCCATTATTATTTCAAATAGGTTTTCAATTTCTTGTTCTCTCTCTTCTCCTTCTGGCACCCTCAAGATGCGAATGTTGGCATGCTTAAAATTGTCCCAGTGGCTTCTTACACTATCCTCATTTTTTTGGATTCTTTTTTTCTTTTTGCTATTCTGATTGGGTGTTTTTTGCTTCCTTATATTCCAAATGGATGGTTTGCTTCTTGGCTTTACCTACTCTACTATTGAATCTGTGCAAATTATTCTTTATTTCAGTTAGTGCCTCCTTCATTTCTGACTATGCATCCTTCATTTCTAACTGGTCCTTTTTTATGCTCTTGAGGCCCTCACTAAGTTTTCTGAGGTTCTCACTAAGTTCATTGAGCATCCTTATAAGCAGTGTTTTGAACTCAGCATCTGTTAGGTTGTTTAACTTCATTTCGCTTAGTTCTTTTCTTGGGGTTTTGTTCTGTTCTTTCAGTTAGGACCTGTTTCTTTGTCTCCTCATTTTGGCTGTCTCCCTGTGTTTGTTTCTGTGTATTACTTAACGAGAGGTATGGGGCTAGCTGAGACCAGATGATGCTTATTTGAAAGAATTTAGGAAAACCTGAAGCAGGATCCAAGACAGGCCAATCCTATGGTTAAGCAACTAGCAACAGCTTGGGTGGGCCTGAAAGTTGGGTGGGGCGGGGCCTCAAGGAATCACCAGGGTGGAGCAAACAGTGTGAGCCAGGTTGCTGGAGTCCCAGATATGGTGGCTGTCTGCTGTCCCAGGGAAGGGCTCACCAAAGGAACAAAGGCCTCTGACAAACAAAGCACATTTGTTCCGGAGAAAGCCCCCTCTCCAGCCCTCTCTCCAATGCCATACAGCTCAGTTCTTCTCTGTATGTCTCTGGTGCCCCTCGAGCTGCCTCCCCTCCACGTTTAGAGGGAGCAAGTCCAATAAATCCGTGCGCAGGCCCTTTAAGAGGAGCTGCCTGGGGCTCCAGCCTCCTCAGCCTCCCTGAGCCTCAGTTCCTGCTGGTTTTTCCAGCCAGAAGTTATGGGGATTCTCTTCCTTGCACTGGAACCCTGAACGGGGTGCCTGGTGTGGGACGGGGACCCCTCAGTCCTCAGGGAGGACCTTCCCAGCCGAGGTGTCCTCCTGACTTTTATCCGCCACACGTGGGTGTGGGACCAGCCCGTCCGCCTCCGCCCCTCCTACCAGTCTGGATGTGGCTGCTGCTTAAATTCCGTAGTCGTAGGACTTCCATTCAGCTTGATTTCAGGCGGTTTTGAATGATGGTTGTTCTGTAGTTTAGTTGTAACTTTGGTGTGGTTGTGGGAGGCTGCGATACCGCGTTTACCTACCCGCCATCTTGACCGGAAGTCTAAAAATTCTTTTTGTAGCTATAACTAAAAAATTTACTCAGTGTCATGCTTTTTGACCTCATTGAATCTCCCTGCATACCCAATACTATTTTTATTTACTTCTATTCTATGGAAAATAAAATATATAGCTTATTTGTGCTATCTAGCAGACAAAAACTAGGCTTAAGACATTTTACTGTGAATTGATATCTCTGTCCAATTAACTCTTTTTGCAACTTTGTATTATAACAAATTTCAAACATATGGAAAAGTTGATAATAAGATAGTGTAAGAGGTACCTACACAATGGTATTTCCACTTACAGATTCAATAATTGCTAAATTTGTCGCGTTAGCTCTGAGTGTGTGTGTACACACATACATGCATGAATGTGTATAAAACATTTTGTAATTAATTGCACTTCTTAAAAATAAGGACATTATCCTATATAATAAAAATACATATCACACATAGGAAATTTATATTAAATAATAAAACTTAAAGATTTGTTTAAAATGATAACACACACTACTTTAAAAATTTTATGCACTAACCTTTGTTATATGTAGTGACCACAGCCTTTTCTGAAACATGCCTCAAATACAGGAGGAACACTGCATTGCAGTATAATTACCGATGGTACTTCCTGTAGGATGTGTGTATTGACAACTCCTCAGTTGCTATCTCACACTTAACATGGACAGAGACAGTGGATTCGGAAAAGACAGCGATTAAACCACTCAGCTACTCCTAGGTTTATTGTGTTATATTTCATTTTTTACTTAAATTTTTCTTAGCTTCAAGATTTATTCAGGTCATTTCTTTAACCCATTATCTCCCTTCATGTTGGGAGCATTTATTTTCTGTGATATAAAAAAATTGTAATACTATTTAATTTAGTCATTTTATTTATAGTAAAGCTCTGAAATATTAACAGCTAAAAGAAAAATACTATTATTTTAGATAAATAGCATAAAATAGATTATACTATCAATCATAAAAAAATATATTCTAAATTTATATGTGAAAGGTATTCATTTGAAAGTAATTTGTATTATTCGGTTGAATTTCAGTGTAGAAGTATCCTGTTTATTTATGTTTTACTCTTTTTTCCCTTTCTTTTTAGTTCATGCTGAATTGATTGTATTTCTTATTTCCTAATTTCAAAATATGTGGTCTTTCACATAAATATTTATTTAGTTTGAATATTTTAATTTTGGTTTTAGACTATGTAAGAAATAACTACCTATTTTATTAATTTTATTTTTTCTATTTCAATGAGACATTTAGACAGAATTTTATTTCAATGACTATAAACTTTATTCAAAATTCTTAAATATAAAAACACTATTCACTTTGATAGTCTTGAACCACTGTTTTTTACAAGTATATAATTACTCTAATCCTAATTACCTGAATGCTAAGACCTTTTTCCTCACAATCTGTTTTAGTGTTACATAATGCTGACTTTAAACATATAGATACCATCTTTTAAAAATGTTTTCTGTAACTGCTTAGGAATGAAAATGTTTAAGTATTACCTCATCTCTCCAAAATGTTCGATGAAAAAAATTTCAAAAATTTTTCTCAGGGGGCACAGCAAAAATGTGACCATGCAATGCAGATAATTAAACAGAATCTTAGACAGTGAACAAGCACTCTAACTTATTTACCTTATAAGGACTTAATTGATTTTCATAAGGGGCTTATATGATAATTATTTTTATTACTTTTTATAAGCTTCAATCTAGGTCATTATGTTTCAGTATTAATTCCAAAGGGAGAAAAACAAATATTGAGAGGCAGTAGTTCAAAGTCCAAGAACAGTCTGCTGTTTTCATGAATTTCTGTTCCTCTTTCACTGTTTTAGCCCAAAGGGACTCATAAACTACACTCTTAGCGGTATGAATTTATTTGCACTTGTTCTGATATCATTAGAGGTCATATTGGTTGTTTGTTCAATGATACTTTGTCTATTAAGAGCTCAAGAAGAGGGGAAACTATGAGATAAAATATAGAGAGCATTTTATTAAAACCCTAGAATAAGAACACTTGAGTTTTCTAAAATGATCTGTTTTCTGACTTATAAGAATCTAACTATTCTGGTCTTTGTTGCTAAAATTGCAAGAAGGCATATTTCCTTATTTGACCCTCTCCTCTACCTTTTAAGTTATAAAGTTATTTACATCTATTTTTGTAAACTTTGCAAATTGCATCGCATAAATTAGTATATTTCACAGTTGAATATCCTTTGGGATTCTTACCTTGTGACTTTTTTCTAGTTTTGTGTTAGTGGTATGTTATAAATTATAGAAACTAACTTTCAAAATTTATTTGAACATATTATAAGGTATGATATGCTTTTAGAAATATTTCAAAATTGATCATAGCTTTGGAGCAAAACTCACGCTATACATTTGCTGTTCTGTTTTTGTTTCCATTTGCCGACTGGGCATCTGAAAAGACTCCGTTTGCATTGGGGAAATAGCTAGAATTCAGTCAACAGGGCAGAGCAACTTGCTGTCATCCTGTGTGATGTCATGGTCACAGCGAAGAAAAATGTTTCAAATTATCAATAGATGACTCAATTTCTATGATGTCCAAATAAAGTCATTTAGATTGCTCTCTGGATCTCCCTCACCGCCTTAGTTTTAGTTACCAAAATTTTCAGATGTATAATTCATCTCCTCTTCTAAAATTCATGGATGTTCATGACTCTAATTCTCTAAGATCACATAAAAAACAAAGATGTTCAGAGAGAAATTAGTGTAGCCTATTACTAGTGCTTATTTACAAGTACTTTAAAATATAGTGTTTAACTGAACTTTTTTTTTCCTTATTCTTTAAGGTGGATATGGAGACCATGGTATGTCAAAGAAACGAGGGGCCCTCTATCAACTTATAGACAGGATAAGAAGAATTGGCTCTGGTATATCAATGTTTAAAGTTGCAGACGCTTGACTTGATGTACAGTAAATATTATACTCATAGCAGTTCAGTTTGTCATTATGATGCAAAGTATGTGAAGGATATATGCTAAGAAAGAGTCTTTTATTTTTATTTTGTTAGTTGATATTTGATGTAAGTCTTTTAGAACTTAACTGGGGACAATTGCAATGTTTTCTTAACTTATTTTCAGCTTCTCATTTAAAAACATATTAGGTATTTATATTATTGTTGATATTTATTTCTAGTAAATAAAGTATCACGCTAAGGTATTTTACCGAGCATGGAACTACATCAATTTTAATCAAATGAAAGATATCATGGCTGTTTGAAATAAATTTCACTTAAATTGACAAACTGATTTATTAGATTCAAGAGTGGCTGAAACTTTTTGACTCTCCCCAAAAACATATATAGAAAAACATTCAGAAAAAACATCCTCTGGTTTCATAATTAGTTAATATATATAGTGTTGAATTTATTAACCCCTATTTGTAGATTTGAGGTGTTTTTTTAAGTACATGTTCAAAGTTCATATCTTAACCCCTTAAATTGATGGTTTATTATTAAATATTTAAAACTACTTTCAAGTATTAATTTTCCCAAACAAAGATGCTTTGCTCCAGGGTATTAAAGAAGATATACTATACACCTGAAAGGAAAGCAAAATAATATTAAATATAAACTGTAATTGAAAATAAAATAGAAAAAAAGACATTAGGGACATATATTCAATATTTGCAGTGTCTGAAGTATATACTAGTGGCGGCATATTTGTGTTGGCAGAGACAGATGAATAAGAAAAAATAATTATGCAAATTTAGTAACAAAAATCTATGAAGGGCCACCAAGAAAAGTTAACGACTTTGAAAGGTGCTCCAGAGTTAACTGCATTTTCTGTTGACCTGCTGCCTGAGTGTAGTGACTGGGTGTGTTCAGGGAAAGCGGGAATGGAGATAGCCCACTGTCCCAGAAGGCTGAGCCCTTCCCTGTCTTAATGTTATTTCACTCACTTTCTCTGTAATGGGATGCTCATCATTTTAACCTGTACTACCGAATGTCAATCCTGGAAAAAGGATGAAGGATTTAGCAGGGGTAAGAAGAGTTTGGAATGTCATAGGACTTTTTAAACAATGCTTTGCTCTGGTGGTGAATTTCTTAGTGATCTAGTAAAGCAGAATACTTACATAAAATAATTTTTCTATGACCTACAAACTTTGCCTGACTTCTTCCTGGGATAGGCTGTTTATAACAATTCATTTGAATTGTACTCATAGAGCATTAAGAAATAGTCTTTTAATATGACATACTTAAATCTTTTAATACTTTCTTTAAGTATGTGGTCTACATGAAGCTTGTCTTTAATGCATTTCGACTTCAGGCATACTTAAACAAATATGTAAATAAGACATTTTAACTTTTGTCCTTTAAGAAGTAAATGACTCCTTGCCCGAGGACTTCTGTTTCACAAATCTTTTAAATGTCACTGCAGGCTTAGAGCAAAACAACACAGTTAAGGAAAAAGTACCTCTAAAATTCTCCAGGCAGAATGAGAAAAATCGAGTTCCCCGAGCAGCTACATCAAGAACTGACAGAATATGGCCCGGAGGCGTTATTCCTTATGTTATAGGAGGCAACTTCACTGGTAAGATATTCTTTGCCTTTCTATTGTGATAAAGAAATAAGCCCTGGCCGGTTTGGCTCAGCTGTTAGAGCATGGGCCTGCGGTCTGGAGAGACCTGGGTTCGGTTCCCGCTAAGGGCACGTACCTCGGTTGCAGTTTGTCCCCGGCCCTGGTTGGTCGTGCGGGTGGCGACCACCCGATGTGCCTCTTTCACATCAATGTTTCTCTCTCTCTCTGTTCCTCTCTCTCCCTCCCACTCTACCTGAACAAAAAATGAAAAAATGTCCTCGGGTGAGGATGATAAAAAAAAAAAAGAAAGAATAATTATCATACAAAGTGTACCTTTTTATAGAATTTTAATCTATAAAACAGTATTAAATCAAACTTGAGAAATACTCCCCTTACCTCAGTTGTTAGTTTAGAAGGTCTTGTAATTGGGAAATTTCTCTAGTTTAAGAGACTCAAGTCCTGTTTTGGTTTTTCTTTTTTTATTATTACTATTTTAAATATGTTTTTTTTTTTGTTTGTTTTTTTGTTTTGTTTTGTTTTTTAGAGAGAGAGGAAGGGAGAGAGAGAGAGAAACATCAATGTGATTGATCGGCCGCCTCCTGCACGCCCCCTACTGGGCATTGAGCTGCAACCCGGGCATGTGCCCTGACCTGGAATCGAACCAGGACCTCTCAGTCCATGGGCCAATGCTCAGTCCACTGAGCCACACCAGCTGGACCTGTTCTAGTTCTTAAACTGAGTTTCAAATGTGTCCATTAAATCTGGAAGCTGATTACTCTTCAACTGACAGGAAACACGTATGTTCGGTTTACAGGGCCCTGTACACACATATCTGTGGAGATAGTAAGTGTGAACCTTCTGATTATAAAGTGAGTGTCCATTCTTAACAGTGGCCCACTCTGGAGCTCCAGGCGGGGAGTCTTTGGTTGATAACAGTGGTGACATCTCAAGTGCCCAGGCGGACTCGGAATAGAGGAGCTGGTGTTCTCTGGGGCAGCCACTGTTTATTCATTCCATGCCGTTTTTCCAGGCAGCCAGCGAGCCATGTTCAAGCAAGCCATGAGACACTGGGAAAAACACACATGCGTGACTTTCATCGAAAAAAGTGATGAAGAGAGTTACATCGTGTTCACGTACAGGCCTTGTGGGTGAGTAGAACCAGGGAATGACCTAAGTAAATTCAGAAGGGGGAAAAACTCCACAGGTAGGATTCATTTCCTAACATATACTTGGTATTTTGCCCATGTGAAAGTGTGATTTTTACATGAGAAAATGTTCTATTTTAAGTAAATAGATTCTTTGATCGGGGACCTTTGTGCATCTGTCTCAAGTGCATTTCTCCACTACCCCAGCTACCTGTCCTGTGTTCTAACTCTAAGTGGAATTGCCTGTGTCCCACTCACCTGAGTCAGGATCTTCAGTATCATTGTCTAGGGATTCCATCGTGCTTCCTCTAAAATCCACTCAGTAAATGTCTGTTGCTGTTCGTTGTGTCTTTTGGTTTCCGCTTCTGTGCCTCGTCAGTGCCCTGATCCATTCATGCCTTTGTCCTCTCAGAGTTGGTCCGTTCCAGTTGCTCCCCTGTGTTGCCAGTTCACTACCACTAGAACTGTCTTCACAAAACACCGGTCACCGCAGGTACCACACTTTGTGAGATTCTCTAGTGTTCCCTCCTACAGTGTTTTCTAGATTTTCTTCTTACAGGATGATAACAAAAACGCTCTCCAAAACAACTATTCTGTAACTCATGAAAATGCTGTATGACATTTTAATAGCTATTTCTATAGCAGGATGCTGATAAACATGATTAATATTCAACCAATGGAAAAGAATAGAGAATGACAGGGTTCTCTAAACCTATTTTTAAAAATGGAACACCCATCTCACCCTTTCAAAAGTGAAAAACACACATCAGTGTCCCGGAGCCCATTTTGGGAAGTGCTAGCCTGAGAATAAAATCCAAATTCCTTGGTATAGCATTTAAGGAATGCCATGACCTTACCACAGCTTCCGTCTGTAGCATCTTCTGCCACCGCGTCTCTCCACAAATCCCATAGTCCAGCCAAGTTACAGTAACAGCAGTTCTTCCAGCAATGCTGCATGCTGGAAAAGACTTTTTATTGCGAAAGTTTTCAAATTCTTCTTCCCTGCATTTCCAGTTCATTGGAAATTATATGTAAATTCAGCTTGAATTTTTGTTTGCTTGTTGGCTAAGAATACTTGATAGGGTGTGCTATCTACGCTGCATCTCATCCAGAGATACAAACCTTGACTGCCTCTGTAGTGATTACATGGTTCAGTAGATTCCAGTGGTGGTAGCCCCATCCTGCCATCGTAAAAGTTCCCATCATTGCAAAACAGTGATTTTCTGATAGTGTTCTTTTCTTTTATTTCCTACATTGATTGACTGAAATTCTTCTATAAAGAGGAAAATTCTTTAATCACATGTAGCTATATGAATATCTATCCTCTAGTATAGTTTATGTAGGGAAATGAAAATAAATACTTAATTTCTTTGGAAGGAATAGTTCTTGCCCTAGTGATGTGTTTTTTGGAGGGAAAATATATTTCACCAAGTATGGTGGAAGAGGGTTGTCATTTGGCTTTGTGCTATCATATTTTCCTAGGTCATTTAACTTAACTTAAAAGTGATGAATTATATTTTGCCACTAAGTGACATTAAGAAAAATGATACATTATTTCTTTTCTATATATTTTTGGATAGTGCCATGATTTTTTAGTTCTGACTTATTCAAGTGATGTTTTCTTCTAAGTTACTCTAATTTTAGCTTGATAAGGTTTGGTTACTTTTGAGAGCTTGTTTGGAGGTTCTAGCAGGGGAGCGCAGCTACTCGTATACCCTTGACTGAAGACCGGTCCTCTCCTCTGGGGGGAAGGTCATCCTCTTCGACCGAGCGCGCAGCTTCGGGAGGGACGAACATGGATCGGTTGAGGGAGGAGGGGGACACCCGCCTAGCCAGCCAGATCAGCCGAATCAACCCTGGTGATCAATGGGGTGACAGATGTCGCAGCCAGATCGCCCTCACATCCAGGTTTGGTTACTTTTGAAACGCCTCCTAGTTCTTCATCTATATTTAATATTTAAGAAGTCCAAATCCAGACTGTCCTGCCTTCTGCTTATTTAATACAAAAGCATATAGCTCAGCTTACATATTTCTAAAAGCCTAATATATTCAGATGAATACATCTTTCTTCTTTCCCACCCTTCAATTTTATAAAACCAATACTTCCAAAGCATTGATCACTTGTTATTTCATTGCTTAATTTCTGTTTGAAACAAATTCATATTTATGCTCATTTTCTTTCATTCATCTGGCTCTTTTCAGAGTTTTCCATTTCACTTGTTTGATCCTGCTGAACTATTTTTCCCCATTCACTATCATTTCTTCGTGTTTTCGCTCATGCTATTTTAGTCGCTTGGAATGCCTTTACTTTGAATTTTCATCAGTGGATATCTTTCACATAGTTCATTCCCAGCCATGTCTGAGCCGCCCACAGTGGGACTTGGCTTTATGCACAGCTGTTGATGGTCACGTTTCCACTGCTCATTCATAGCTTACCTGCGCGGCCCTCACACCCAGCGCACTGCTGACAGCTAGGACCAAGCAAACACTGCCAGCTCACATATTAGCTAAAGCACATGTGTGTAACTCAAAAGGGAAGAATTTAAAGGGAGTATTGAAGAAATGTGCTGTGTAGCCTCAGAATTTATAACTGGAAGTTTGTGCCTTTTACCCACTTCTTCACCCCCAGTCCCTGCCTCTGGCAACCACCAGTCTGTTCCCTGTATCTGTTGAGCTCCTCCCTGTGCCAGGCTATATCCCAGGGCTACAGATACAGCAGTGAACCGACCATTCGATGGTGGGCCCACAAAGCGCTTACTTACATTCTGGGGAGCAGGAGAGCAGAAAGAAACAGGAACATAAATGAAATATGAAATGTATTAATGAACCCTAAATTCTAGGACAGACTGTAAAGCCATGTAAGTGGGGTGGAAGGGCATTTGTGCAACGACTTGACAAACAGCAGGAGATGAGACTAGGGGTGTCTGGGAGAACAGCGCCCTGGCAGAGGGGACAGCAGTAGAAAGGCTGTGAGCCAGAGCATGTCCGCAGGCTCAGGCACAGCCAAGTGCTCCAGGGAGTGAGTGGTGGGACCGGAGCAAGAGATGAGATCTGTATGGGAAGACATTCTTAGGATCTTCGAGTTTTTTGTAAGTACTTTAGACTCTCCTCTAAGTCAGTGGTTCTCAACCTTCCTAATGCCGCCACCCTTTAATACAGTTCCTCGTGTCGTGGTGACCCCCAACCATAAAATTATTTTTGTTGCTACTTCATAACTGTAATTTTGCTACTGTTATGAATCGCCATAGGAAATATGTGTTTTCCGATGGTCTTAGGCGACCCTTGTGAAAGGGTCGTTCAGCCCCCAAGGGGGTGGTGTCCCACAGGTTGAGACCCGCTGCTCTAAGTGAAAGAAAGAGCCTGTATTAGTCGGCTGAGGCAATTTATAGTAGATATCTCAGGGATCAAACTACTGCATTTTTCTGCGTTCACAGGACCATTGTAAAAGTCAGTGGGAAATGTACTTTTGCTCTCCATATAACCCCATCTTATTTATTGGAATAGACTATGGATGAAATTTTGCTGAAAAGGTGTTTGACATGAAATAAATTGACCACATTTCTAGACTGTCTCCCAGATTTTGATTTGCAAAGTATTTTCTTCTCTGAATAGAATCAGCATGAATGACTCAGTGTGGGTAATTTAGTTACTACCTAATTATCAGATAGTTCAGTTTCTTTACTATTGCTATATGGCAGCAAATGTTTCAGTTTAAATTTCTTCAGTATTTGTAAATTTTATGTTTTTTTTACATCTAATACCTTACTCTTGGATATGTGATAAATAACTGTCTATGTATGGATTACAACATACTATTGGAAAAAAAATTACCTGGGGGGAAAAACACAATTCTCTAATTTTTTTTTCCCCTTCCAGTTTTCTCTTTATTTCTGTTATTGATTTATTAAGCTCAATTAACTGTTATAATAGGTTCATAAATAATAAGTCATATTAACTCATCTAACTGGCATGGTATAGGTAAAAATATTTAGGCACTTAAAAGGCCACAGGAACAATTAGAATGACAAATGTTTGTATTTATGAATAATCAAAAGGAATATCGCATATATTTACTATGGCCCGGCCGATGTGGCTCAGTGGTTGAACATCGACCCATGCACCAAGAGGTCGCCAGTTCAATTCCCGGTCCGAGCACATGCCCAGGTTGTGGACCAAATCCCCAGTGGGAGGCATGCAAGAGGCGGCCAATTGATGTTCTCTCTCATCGATGTTTCTCTCTCTCCTTCTCCCTTCTTCTCTTTCTAAAATCAATAAAATGTATATATATATATTTATTATGGAAATTGAAATTAGTGAAGTTCCTTTTAATCATTTGGGCAATTGACTTTTGGCAATTTTCACTTCTAATTTAATAAATTACAGCAAGTGTCTGGTGTCTGATGCATCCTGATTCCCAGATATTCAACACCAATTATTTACTGCCCTCTATTGTTGTCTAGAGGGGTGGTCCTATGTTTTAAGTATTATTTTTTTATATATGTAATTGGAGTCACTATATTATTATACCATTTAGAACTTATTTTAAAGTGGATATCCTCATGTACCCACATTTACACATGTATGTGCACTCATGCACTCTCACACACATGATGTGTGCACGTATAAATACACACACAAAATGAATAAATGGAACTTCTATATTTAAGGTAGGAAAACATCAGTGAATATGTATAAATATCATTAATTGAAGAAAATTTGCAGAGAGACATTCTGGGTGTTTCCAATTCTGAGAATCCAGGAGATTCTTTCAGAAGATGAAACAGAATGTTACACTTAAGTATCAGCTGACCCTTTGACACCATCGTGTAAATCTCATAATTCTACCAGTTGTCAGTTTTTTTTCTCCACCAGTTAACCACTAACCTTAGATAATTCACCTTTTGAAACTAATTTTCTTCAACTGACTTACTCTTTTAAAACTTTCTTAAAAATGTTCTCCTATGAGTAGGAAAAATAATGTACTTTTTTTACTAATCAGCATCTTTTATAAACACATTTTAAGTACTGTTTTTCTTAAAGAGGAAAAACAAACTTTGTTTTATATTTAATGCTGAAATAATAGATTATTGCCAGATAACAATATTGACACATTAATATAATAAAGTGCACTGTGAGAATAAAAAGTTATATTAGAAATAAATGAGTTGATAAGTCTTGAGTTACCTATATGTATAGTAACACATTAATCAACATTGTATTTTATTTTCTAATTTATCTTCTACTCCTAAAAAATGATTTAAGGCATATGTCTAATATATGAGTTAGTACAAGAGCACTTCAAGTGATTGTTTAGAGACTTTTGTTGTATATAAATTAACCAGGATACTAGGAATTAGCCATATTTGTTCATGAAAGGCCGTTCTGCCTCTGAATGTGTTGGACTTTATGGTTCATCACAGTTTTTTACAAAAGTTGCTCCATATTGTAGTTCATCCAGCATTGCCCTTTGTACCACCATCTCCTCTTTATACTTGCTTCCAGATGCTGCTCCTATGTAGGCCGGCGGGGTAATGGACCTCAGGCAATCTCTATTGGCAAGAACTGTGATAAATTTGGAATTGTTGTCCATGAATTAGGCCATGTGATAGGCTTTTGGCATGAACACACGCGACCAGATCGAGATAACCACGTAACCATCATAAGAGAAAACATCCAGCCAGGTGAGACCTGGGTTTAAGGTTGACTGAATTTCTTTGGTTGTGTTCTCACCATTTATCTTCTTTAAAAAATGTGAGCTGATTTTTTTAATATCAACATTTTCCTTGATTAAAAAATACCCATGCTGGGGTTCTATTTTTAGATTCTTTTGCTCTCTCTTCAGAATGAATGTTCTTATGTGTTTGTTAAGCTTACTTTTCTTAAGATTTAGCTCTTTTATTTCTAAACTTCTGTGTTTTCCAAGAATGGATGTAGGCTACTGAATTATAAATTAATATTATGAAATACTTTTAAAGTATTTTCTATACTTGGCTCTGTAATTCATGTTGTAAGGATTTAAAAAGGGTCTAGCTTTTACCATCAAACATGCTGCTACCATAGGAATCTATATTATGCCAGGGACAACTTCTAGAGAAAATTCCAGGGGAATGAGTCATTTGAGGATAGTCTAAATAGTTTCCTTGAGATTTTTCTTAAATCTGACTATCCTGAAGACAAATATTTAAAAATGTTTTCAGCAGTAGAAATGTAATATACAATTAAAATGTAATTTTCTCTGACAGGTGATGTGTGATAATAGTCTCATTTTAAAGCTTTCTATTTGTTTTAATTCTCATAAATACACAAACATCAACATATTTCAATTGTCAAAGAAAAATCTTATTGGTTGGAATTGTCTTATAAGGTAATATGTATTTCAAGGTTAAACAAAATAAAAATGTGTCTTTATTTACTTAGTCATGGTCAGTTTCAAGTTACAATAATTGAATTCCTTAGAATTTCCAGTAATTAACAGCACTGATCTATTTATTTACTTCTTACATATTTGATGACAGTTATTTCTCAAGGCACTATTAGATGTTGGCAATGCTGTGATGAAAAGTACAAAGCTTAGTGTGGGGTATGTACATGTATACAAATGATTGCACGTGAATGAGAAAAATAATAATAGTCATATGTTGAGAATACCATATAGTCTAAGCAAGTTGTGAAAAAAGTTAACTTAGAGAATCAAGGAAAATGTCAAAAAGAAACTGAAATTTAGAAATAAGGTAGAAGTGTTCTAAGTGCACAGAAGAATGATGGAATTTTAAGCTGAAAAAACATCATGCTCAAAGGTGCACATACAAGAAATGGAATCCTTTTTTTGTCTGTTTCTTAATCCTCACCCGAGAATATTTTTCCATTGATGTTTTTCTAGAGACAGTGGAAGGGATAGAGGGAGGGAGAGAGAGAAAGAGAGGGGAAGACATTGATGTGAGGGAGACACATTGATCGGTCGCCTCCTGAACGACCCAACTAGGACTGGGGATTGAACCTGAACCCCAAGTACATGCCCTTGACTGGGACTTGAACCCTCGACCCTTCAGTCCTCAGGCCAACACTGTAGCCACTGAGCCAAACTTGCCAAAGCTAGAATCTTTTTTATTTGCCTATTGAAGAAATAATGATTTTATTTTGGGGATCATTAACTGAGAAATAGAAAATGGGGGTGGGGAAGATGAACCTGAAATCATGGAAACTCATCAAAAAGTTAAATAAATAGTGTATGAGTTGACTAATTACTCAGTTAAGATAGCACAGGTCAAGAGAAATAGAGGGGTAACCTTTAAAAACTATTTTAAGAGGAACATCCTCATGCGAGGGGACATCTTTAAGGTTTTATTTTTAGGTAACGCGATGAACGGCGGCACCATTAAATGAAGTAAGAAATATGGACAAGGCAACATTTTTGGGAGGGAGAAAAACAAATAATGGTTTCATTTAGCATATCCTTGAGTTTGAGAAGTCTTTGGATGATCCAAGTTGAGATGTTCAGTAGACAAAGGGAAGGTGAGTCTAAACTTTCAGATATATCTACAATAAAAATTTGATAAGGAATTTGACTGTGTAGAGAAACTCTGGGGGGTGAAAGAAATGACTGAGGAAAGAAAATGGGGAAAATCAATATTTAAAGCAAGATTTTATTGTACACATGAAACCTCTATGATCCTATCAACCAATGTCACCCCAATAAATTAAAATAAAGAAATAAAATAACATTTATAAAAAATTCTCTACAGGACTAAGAAGGTTTGGTCTAAGGCACAAAATGAATGAATATGATGTCTCAGAGAAGAGATCGTTTCAAGAATGATGAAATAGCCCTGGTCAGTTTGGCTCAGCGGTTAGAGCATCGGCCTGTGGTCCAGAGAGACCCAGGTTCGGTTCCTGCTAGGGGCACATGTCTCGGTTGCAGTTTGTGCCCGGCCTTGGTTGGTCGTGTGGGTGGCAGCCACTCAATGTGTCCTTTTCACATGGATGTCTCTCTCTTTCTCTCTCTCTCTCTCTCTCTCTCTCTCTCTCTCTCTCTCTTCCTCTCTTTCCTTCCCACTCTATCTGAACAAAAAAATGGAAAAATGTCCTCAGGTGAGGATAAAAAAAAATAGAATGATGAAATAATCTATAGTGTTGAATATCAAAGAAAAGTAAGAAAATGTATACTCCCAAAATAGAATAGAAGACTAATGCCTGAGCCAGGTATCAAGGTTCGTTTTATACTTTATATCATTAGTAAAGAAATATAAAGAAAATATTTCGGCCTTGGCTGGTTTGGCTCAGTGGTTAGAGCATTGGCCTGCAGTCCAGAGAGACCCGGGTTTGGTTCCCACTAAGGGCACGTACCTCGGTTGCAGTTTGCCCCCGGCCCTGGTTGGTCGTGCAGGTGGCAGCCACTCAGTATGTCTCTTTCACTTCGATGTTTCTCTCTCTCTCTCTTCCTCTCTCTCCCTCCCACCCTACCTGAACAAAAAATGGAAAAATTCCTCGGGTGAGGATAATAATAATAATAATAATATTTCTGAAAAGTATTTCAATTACCAATTTAATGAGAAGTTTTCTGTTAACCATAGTTACTGAGTTTCCTCTATTGTGTTGACAAAACTTATAAAGGAAATAAGTTTCAAGAATAATGTTAACTCTTAAAATAGGACTCTGGTTCAATATAAATATGTACTTGAAACAAGCAGGAAATGTATACATGGTATATACATGTATAATACTAAACACAGTTCTAAGCAAATTATGGCTACTCATACTTTTGTTCACTCTACATTCAGGCCAATAGAAAAATTATTTATTGAGTAAGATTTCCTGAGTATCCGGAACTACTATAGCAGTGCAATTCTAGTATGTAAGAATTCATGTTGGAGATTAATCTTCAACAAATTTATGACTGCTTTGGCTCAGAAACTTAAGATCAAGTGTTATTCAAGGGCAGTGTCTAATAAAGTGCAGACTTTAGCTTTGCATTTATATGCAAGATTAGTGACTATGATAGGAGCCAAATTTATATAAGTGGGATTAGGTTACTTTAATCCATTTTAGAATATGCCTTCAAGGAGGTTTATTCTTCTGAAGCATATTCTTCTTAATCAAAAATGCTCTCCAATAGGAGCTTGGAGTGGATTCATCAAAGAGAATCTTGTATAAATTTTGAATGAAATTTGTTGCTGTTGTTTTACCATTAGTAAGAAAATTACATAGTTAAAAGTCTGCCATGTTGTGTGTACTTACAAATATTGTTTGTTTGTTTTTAAATTTTCTCAGTGTTTCATAGAAAGAATATAAGCAAATAGGAAGATACTTTTTTGTCAGTTTTGGCAACTGTAGTTATAAGAGAAAGTTGGGAAGCTCATTAAATAAAATGTAACTATGTATAATAATTTTTGTAGTACTGAACAAAAGTAAGATTTTAAAGAAACAATTATGAGAACGTAAAAAAGTATACATAGAAAACAGATCCAAGGTATGCTTTTGGTAATCCATTCTTTTGCTGAAATTAACTTATTAATGAAATTCAGTAGTGTACTTTCAATGTGATATTAAGTAACATAGCAGCACTGGATGGATACTTTTGAAGGACTTGGATGTTAGTATATAATTACAGTGTGCATGAAGATTAGCCATTTACTAAAGAGAAGGTATAGGCATAGGAAGTGCTCTCTCCTCCCCTCCCCTCCCCTCCCCTCCCCTCCCCTCCCCTCCCCTCCCCTCCCCTCCCTTCCTCTCCTGTCCTCTGTCTCTTAGAAGGCTTCTGAAATGTAATTTGTGCCTGATTCTTAGGTCAAGAGTACAATTTTCTGAAGATGGAGCCTGGAGAAGTAAACTCACTGGGAGAAAGATATGATTTTGACAGCATCATGCACTATGCCAGGAACACCTTCTCAAGGTTGGAGTCTCAGGTTATACCTTTTGACTTTTAATTCCTTTCCTATGTGTGGCTTCTCACAAAGCTATGTGTACCATTAAAACTAGAAGCATTTTCAAATATTGCTACCATAAAGTACAAAAATATTTGATTAGTATTTATAGCCAACAAGCAGGCATTTGAGATTTTAAAAACATATTTTTACCTTTTCTTTGAAATACATAAATTCAATGTAAAGATTAAAATGATATGAATATTTAACTATTTTATATTGTTAAATCACCAAAAAAAATCAATTAAAATGATCAGAATGTTAAATTGGCAAGTCATTATTTAATGAAAATTAGGCAGGCAAACAGAATTCTCCTTGTTGAGTTGGAATGTTATACTCTATGTGACTGACCCCTCACCTAATGAAAGGGCAGTTACATCAGTAGACAGAATGAGTCAAAGTTCATCATTCTGTTGTCTGAGTTTGAATATATACAGTTTAAGATGTCCTTCCTTGTAATTTTAAAATCAGATCTTTTGAAAACTGGGAAAAAAAAGTTTCAAAGACCACAAATCTTGTTTTTAGAGATAGAAAAGAGTGAATATTTTATTAGTGCTGAATACTGCAGAAATTGTAAATTTAATTAATTTGGACTTACCTAGTTAATAATCTGTTGTTGATTCATGCAGCATAATTAAACAATGGCCTTTTTCAATGCTGTCCTATGCCTCAACTTCCCTTTCAATTGCACTGGCCTAGCTGGAGTTGCCTTCTGTATGTGTAAGCTCTTATTTTTGATGGTCAGTTACCAAAAAATCATTAGTTTCTCCTCTCTACCTTCATCTCAGGTAATTTAAATATGGAGCTCTGTAGATAAATTTGAGTTATCCAGGTTTTATCTAAAGATCATTATTACCTAAACCTAGAAACTAGGGTGGTTAGTCATAAATTACTCATAGTTCCTGTCACTCTTCTGTAGTATCCTCTTCCAGATGTAACAGTTTTTAAGGCTAAAATTTAAATTCTCGGAGACTCTCATGAGAGCATAAGTGATTTTTATTTGCATGGAATTATATCTCTGGGTTTCCAAAGTCCCATTTCCCTTAATCCAGTCCTGGAAGAAGTGTAGCTAAGGATTCAGTGGGGCTAAAAGCAAAGTCAGTGTCCAGAGTTCCTGTCCATGTTGGAATCTGGTCTGATATAGCACAAGGCTAGTTGCAGTCCATTAGTCTATTGTGTGTGGGGCCCACATGGCTGTGGGCCATGTGGGTGAATGCAGGAGCACAGGAGCATGAAGGCGACCAAGAAAGCCAGGACCCAAGAGCACAAGAGAGTAAGAGCCAAGTTCTTTGTTTAGGGGATTAAATATTCCAAATCTTCCCATGCTTGCAGTGGCCACACCTACTCTGGCCAATGACCTGTGGCCAGGTGTGACTGAGAAGCAAGTACTGTCCCTATTTTACTCAGATTCTATTGGGCATGCGCCTGTTCTCTCCCTGCCCAGTCCTTTCCCCGTTGATCTGTGAGGACCAGACCCAGGGGCTTCCTGGGCAGTGTAAAGCTGCATCTTGCTGGCAAAGCTGAGCAGATGGTATGCCTGTAATATTTGTCCTCCCCTTTGCTTCTTTCCTGTTATTAATAACTATGTTAATTACAACAGTGTCCGATATAATGCATGTTTCTCTGATGATTAGTGATGTTGGGCATCTTTTTATATGTCTACTGGACAACTGTATGTCCTCTTTGAAGAATTGTCTATTCAGGTCCTTTGCCCATGTTTTAATTGGATTGCTTGTTGTTTTTTTGTTTTGAGTTGTATGAGTTCTTTATATATTTTGGAAATTAAGCACGTATCAATTGTGTCATTGATGAATACATTATCCCATTCTGTGGGTTGTTTTGTTGAGTATTTTTTTTTTTTTTCATTTTGTTGATGGTTTCTTTTGCTGTGCAAAAACTTTTTAGTTTGATGTAGTCCCATTTGTTTAATTTTTTCATTTCTTTCCCTTGCCTAAAGTGATATATCAGAAAACATATTGCTATAAGTAATGTTTGAGGTTTTTCTGACTATGTTTTCTTTTCGAATTTTATGGTTTTGGGTCTAATGTTTAACTCTTTAATCCATTTTGAGTTCATTCTTTTGTATGGTGTAAGAAGGTGGTCTAGTTTCATTTGTTTACACATATCTGTCCAGTATGTCATTTATTGAATAGACTATCTTACACCATGGTATGTACTTGTCTCCTTTGTCCAATATTAATTGATCATAAAGGCATAGGTTTATTTCTGGGCTCTCTATTCTGTTCCATTGATCTATATGTCTGTTTTTATGCCAGTACTATATTGTTTTGATTACTATGGTCTTGTAGTATAGTTTGATATTATGTAGCATGATTTCCCCAAGTTTATTCTTTCTCAAGATTGCTGTGGGTATTTGGGGTCTTTTGTAGTTCCACATAAATTTTTGGAATATTTGTTCTACTTATGTGAAATACACTATAGGTATCCTGATGAGAATTGTGTTGAACCTACAGATTTCTTTGGGTAGTATGGACATTTTAATGATGTTAATTTTTCTATCTGTGAACATAGTATATGTTTCCACTTATTTGTATCTTCTTCAATTTCTTTCTTCAGTGTCATAATTTTCTGAGTATAGATCTTTTACATCCTTGGTAAACTTATTCCTAGGTAATTATTTTTTATGTAATTGCAAATGGGATTGTTTTTCTCACTTTCCTTTTTTGATAGTTCATTAATTACTGTTGTATAAGAATGCAACTGATTTGGATATTTATTTTGTAACCTGGTACTTTACTGAATTCATTTATCAGTTCTGGTAGTTTTTTTTGTGTGGAATTTTTAGGGTTCTTTATGAACAGTATCATGTCATCTACAAATAATGACAATTTTACTCTTTCCAGTTTGGGTGCCTTTTATTTCTTCTTCTTGTCTGATTGCTGTGGCTATGACTTCCAGTACTATGTTGTATAACAGTGGTAAAAGCAGACATCCCTGTCTTTTTCCTGATCTTAAGGGAAACGCTTGTAGTTTTTGCCCATTTAGTATGATGTTGGCTGTGGTTTTGTTATAAATGACTTTTATTACATTGAGGCATGATCTCTCTATTCACACTTTGCTGAGAGTTTTTGTCATAAATGGGTGCTGAATTTTATCAAATGCTTTTTCTGCAGTTATTAATATGATTATATGATTTTTATTCCTCATTTTGTTGCATCACATTTATGGATTTGCAGATATTGTATCAACCTTGCATCACTAGAATAAATCCCACTTGAACATAGTTTATGATCTTTTTAATATTATTCTGGGTCTGGTTTGCTAATATTTTATTGATGATTTTAGCATCTATGTTTATTAGGGATATTGACCTATAATTTTCTTTCTTTTTAGTGTATATATCTGGTTTTGGAATTAGGATAATGCTGGCCTCATAAAATGAGCTTGAGAGTTTTCTTTTCTCTTGAATATTTTGTAATAGTTTGAGAAATATCAGTGGTAGTTCTTTGAATGTCTGGTAAAATTCACCTATGAAGCCATCTGGTGCAGGACTTTTGTTTACTGAGAGTTTTTTTATTTTTATTTTTATTACTGCTTCAATTTTAGTAGTTGTAATCTCTCTGTCCAGATTATCTGATTCAGTTTTGGAAGATTGTATGTTTGCAGGACTTTATCCATTTTGTCCAGATTGTCCAATTTGTTGGCATATAGCTGTTCATAACATTTTCTTACAGTCCTTTGTGCTTCTTTGGTGATAAGTTGTGACTTCTCTTCTTTCATTTCTGATTTTATTTATTTATGTGGGTCCTGTCCTTTTTTTTTCTTGATGGGTCTGGTTAAAGGTTTGTCAATCTTATTTAACATTTCAGAGAACCAGTTCTTTGGGTTTTTTTTTTATCTTTTTTATTGATTTTTAGACTATTTCATTTAATTCTGCTCTGATCTTTATTATTTCCTTTCTTCTGCTCACTTTGGGCTTTGTTTGTTATTCTTTTTTAAGTTCATTTAAGTGTAAATTAGATTATTTATTTGACATTTTTCTTGTTTGTTGAGGTAGACCTCTAATTCTATAAATGTCCCTTTTAGGACTGCTTTCTCTGTGTCCCATAGATTTTGGGTTGTTGTGTTCTCATTTTCATTTGTTTCAAGGTATCTTCTTATTTTTTCCTTGTTCCGATTGCTAACCCATTTATTGTTTAGTAACGTTTTATTTAGCCTCTATGTCTTTCTATATTTTTAAGTTTTTTTCTTATGATTGATTTCTAGTTTTATACCATCATGGTCAGATAAGGTGCTTGACATATCAGTCTTCTTTAATGTATGGAGACTTGTTTTATGTCCTAACATGTGGCTATCCTAGAAAAATGTTTTAAGTGCACTTGAAAAGAATGTCTATTCTACTGCTTTGAAGTGAAATGCTCTGAAGATATCAATTAAATCCATTTGATCTAGTTTGTCACATAAGGACACTGTTTTCTCACTGATTTTCCGTCTGGAAGATCTATCCACTGATGTCAACGGGGTGTTAAAATCCCCTACTATGTCTATTACTGTGGATCTCTCCCATTACATCCATCATAATTTGCTTTACATATTTAGGTACTTCTGTGATGAGTGCATAAATATTTACAAGGGTTATATCCTCTTGTTGGATTGCTTTCTTTATCATTATGTAGTGTCCTTCTTTGTTTATTATTCTAGACTTGGTTTTAAAGCCTATTTTGTCATATGTAAGTATTGCTACCCCAGCTATTTTTTTCCTTTCCATTTGAATGAAATATATTTTTCCATCCTTTTTACTTTTAATCTGTATGTATTTTTTGTTCTGACGTGGTTCTCTTGTAGACAATATATATACACATATATAGTCTTGTTTTTTGTTTTTTTTTAAAATCCATTCAGCCATCTTATATCTTTTGATATAAGCATTTAAACCATTTCCATTTAAAGTGATTATAGATATGTATTTAGTGCCATTTTATTCTCTTAACTATGTTTCCCTGTTTTCCCCTTTTCCTCCTCCTCCTCTTTCTTCATCTTCTTCCTCCTCCTCCTCCTCCTTCTCTTCTTTCTTCTTCTTTAAGAAAGCCCTTTACCATTTCTTGTAATACTAGTTTGGCAGCGACAAACTCCTTTAGCTTTTTTTTTTTTTTTAATCTGGGAAACTTTTAATTTCTCCTTCAGTTTTAAATGATAGCCTTGCTGGGTAATGTAGTCTTGGTTGTAGGTTCTTGCTTTTCATCATGTTGACTATTTTGTACCAATCCCTTCTAGTCTGAAGTGTTTCTGTTGAGAAATCAGCTGACAGTCTCATGAGAGCTCCCTTGTAGGTAACTGTTTTTCTATTCCTGCTTTTAAGATTCTTATTTTTTTTAACCTTTGCCATTTTAATTATGATGCATTGTAGCATAGGTTCCTTTGGATTCATCTTGTTTGGGACTTTCTGAACTTCCTAGAATTGCATCTTTTTCCTTCACCAAGTTAGGGAAGTTTTTGGTCATTATTTCTTCAAATAGATTCATGATCCCCTGCTCTCTCTTTTCTTCTTCTGGTACCCCTATGATTTGGATGCTGCTAAGCTTCATGTTGTCCCAAAGGTCCCTGAAACTATCCTCATTTTTTAAAAATCCTTTTATTTTTTTGCTTTCATTTGGGTATTTTTTTTTTTTTTCTACCTTGTCTTGCAGATCTCTTATTTGATCCTCTGCTTTATCCAACATACTGTTTATTCCTTCCAGTGTCTTTTTCATTTTAGATATAGTATTCTTCATTTCCGATTGGTCTTTTTTATGGTTTCTATATCCTTTTTCATACTGTTAAGAATCCTTATAACCATTACTTCAAACTCTATATCTGATAAAATTCTTGCCAACATTTCATTTACCTCTTTTTCTGGAGATTTCTCTTGGTCTTTCATTTGGGGCCTCTTTCTTTATCTTCCCATTTTGCCTACCTCTTTGTGTTTGTCTCTATGTATTAGATAGATCTGATATGACTCCCAGTATTCGTGGGCTTGCCTTATGTAGTAGGTGTCCTGGGAGGACAATGGTGCAGCTTCTTTAATCACCTGAGTTGGGTGCTCCAAGAATTTCTCTTATGTGGGTTACATGGGCCCAGCTATTGTATATGAATATTGTTTGCTATTGGCCCATTCATGCATGGACTCGACCCTCAGGCTGGCTGACTGTGAGGTTCAATCCTGACCACGGTGTGAGAGCTGCTGTGCAGGTGCTGACCATAAGAATTGGAATTTGCTTCAGCAGGGTCTGGTGCTTTCTGAGATCTCCCTTTGGATATGCTTCTTGTGAAGCTTATGGGATCCTGCTCTAATGCTTTCTGAAGCTAGCCACTGGTGTGTTGGTTCTGGGGCTTTTGGGAGGGACTTTGGTGTATGCCAAAGTCAGATACTGCCTGTGACTGGCCCTGGGCAACCTGTTTGGAGCAGTTTTGATGTGGCTTCTTTTGTAAATCCTTGGTTATAAGACTTCTCTACAGCTAGACTTCAGTTGGTTATTCAGGTTGATTTTTCTAATATAGTTGTAGTTCTAGTTGTTCCTGGGAGAAGGTGAGTGTAGTTTTTACCTACTCCACCGCCATCTTGTGAAAATGTTGTTCTTTTAGCCTGAAATTTAAATGTAATTTATTTATTTAACAATTTTTTTGCAATTATATGTTTTTTATTTAAAATACTTTTATAATATGTGGCTGCTGACCCACTTTCCCCTGCAGGGCCTTTGTAGGCAGGGTGGGCATTTAGAAAGTTTCTTCCCCTCATTGACTGAGTCTTAGTTGATAGAAGTGCTGTGGAAACTGTGACTAAAAGAGGCATTATGCTTCCAGAAAAATCTCAAGGAAACGTACTACAAACAACAGTAGTAGCTGTTGGATCAGGCTCCAAAAGAAAGGGTGGAGGGATTCCACCAGTTAGCAAGAAAGTTGGAGATAAAATTCTTTTTCCAGACTATGGAAACACCAAAGTAGTTCTAGACCACAAATATTACTTCTTATTTAGAGATGGTGACATTCTTGTAAAGTATGTAGACTGAAATAAATCACTGTTAAAATGGCATCGCCTGAAGCTACCCATTCCATTGAAGTTCTAAAATTTTCTTCATATAAATAATCTTTGTGCCTCTTTTATAATAAACTTATGATATGAAAACTAAAATAAAATAAAATTTCTTTATAGAAAAACTCTCTTTTTAAAAAAAATCCTTAAATACACACTTCATTCTTCTCACTACTCAGAATAGTCTCCCAGTCCACTTAACTTTCTTTAGAGCTATAGATGTTGGTATTTATTATAAAAATAGACTATTGATAGTACATTATATTCAGGATTTTTAGTTGTAAATATTTAGAAAAATAGTGAGTTTCTATTAAAACTTGTGTACAAACAACTCAGTATCTATACCTTACCATTATTAAGACATTGCTTAGTTATTTGATTGTCAATTATACCATGAAAATTTTATACTATATGTATGTATGTGTGTGTATTATTAAACTATTTTGCTTTAAACTCTCCTATCTAAAATTTTACACTCTTTGTTTTTCTTTGTTCTTTAACATATACTCAGTAATCTAAGGGGTTCTTAGATCTGCTTGAGAAAACAAAACAAAAGTTATGTGTACTTGGTAGGAGACTAGATAGAATTCTAGATTTTGAAACTCATGTAATACACATTTCTAATGAAAAAGAGAATGTCATCACTGACTTTATGCTAGGCATATCTATTTAGCACACATTTTATTTCTACTTGACAAAAGTGTTTTGAAAGTCTGACACACTGTTTAAAGCCCAACTGATGTATTTTTTTCCCCTTTGATTGACTTGAGTTTGAAAAAAACAAACACAAATAATTGTAAGGAGTGTATGTGTCTTAATTGGATGACTTATGTGTGGCTTGCTTCTGATTGTTTTCAGGGGGATGTTTCTGGACACTATTCTCCCTTCTCGTGATGATAATGGCATACGTCCCGCAATTGGTCAGCGAACCCGTTTAAGCAAAGGAGATATTGCACAGGCAAGAAAGCTGTATAGATGTCCAGGTATTGCACCATACAAACACAGAAGCATAATTGTGCCAGAGTGTGCTCTTCCAGATGAATAAACCACGATTTATTTAACTGTTTACATGTCTCTTTCCATTCTGGCAAGTGACGTATTCAGTTCAAAGTCAGTAATCAGAAAATGAAATAGGAGAGAACTCTGGAACACCCACTAATATAATTAAAAACAAATTTCTAGACATTGAATTTCAAGCACAAGGCTAGTATGTTTTATTTCTTTTAATTTAAGGAGTAAAAGAGCAAAAAAGCATGTTTGTCTGATAGTTGTTATTAAATAGTTGCATGATTTCATAGTCAAATGCTGAGTTTCTTTGCCAATATAAAAAGAATGTCCTTTATTTCAACTTCAGGATTGAGTCCTGAGTGATCTTTATTTGAAAGTAACATCATTCATTAATGATGTTAAATGAATTAAATTAAAATTAAATTAAACATAAATTAAAATTTTATTATTGGAATTGATAACTTAGTTGCAAAAAAAAATAGTTCTAACCATGTTGGTAGAGAGCTACTGATTGTTATTCTACTGGATTAAGTTGTGAAAAAGATTAATGGAAGGTCCTGATTGTTTATCTACTGGGTAAAGTTGTGAAAAAGATTAATGGAAGGTCTTAATAGAAAAGTTCCAAGGGAACACTAGTGCTGTATTGGTCCAAGAAAAAAAAAAGTCTGCTTCCAATCTGGAAATGCTGCATATTCTATGCACCTACTGTACACTCAAAATCCCCTAAAATACTTTATGTCAAAGAAACACATTTAACTTTACTTAACATAGCTTTTCCAAAATATTTTGTCTGTGTATTTATGTAAAATACACATGCATGTGTGGTATTTATTTTCTTTGATATAAATTTTCACAAGAAAGGTTAATTTGTAAGCAGATGGTACCACTGTGACAAAAGACATGGGTGATTCTTGGCTAATTTCTGGCAGTACTGGATGAACCATGTTTCTTTAATTTTTAAAATAGAAAATTTAGGGAAAGATTATGTGATTAATACTAAATAAATGGACAGTTCCCATATAAAATCATTTTGATACATTTACACACTGAACTGTAGGAAAGTCATTCAATAGGAATCAAAAAGTAATCGCACATATGGCACTGATTTTCAACCTATGGCACTGATTTTCAACCTATGGCACTGATTTTCAACCTATGGCTCTTGAATATATTAGCTACTACAGGAAAATAATTAATAAACATAGTTTTCAATTGAGGCTTTAATTATTTAAATAAATAAGTAAGCTATTTTCTTACTTGAAATATAATAATATGTACATTACTTTGTTTAATATTACAAAACTACGTTCATACAAGCAACATCATTAATGAGAAAAATATCTTGTGTTTCTAAAGCAGTATAAAAAGATAAGTCACTCTATTGCAGCTTATAAATTGCATGGAATGAGAGAGAGCTAAAAGATGTAAGTATATATTAAAAAAAAAAAAGAGGGAGAGAGAGATATGGTAACTTTTAGTTTCCAAAGTCTTTGAGAATGACTTGAACTTCATTTTGTTTTGTTTTGTTTTGTTTTAATTATTTTTTTAAATTTAAGTATGGTTAGTATATATATTGGTTATATTAGTTTCAGGTGTACAATATAGCAATTTGACATTATTATACCTTATAATGTGATCACCCCATTAATTCTAGTAATCATCTGTCCTTTGTGCTCACCAATTAACACCCTCGTTTTCTCTCTTTTTCTGATTCTCCTTCTTTCTATTCTTTCTCTGTTTCTGTCAGCCACTATAACTCCCTTCTGTCTCTCTTTCTCTTTCTTTCTTTCCCCCTCTTTCTCTCAGGCTTCTAGTTCTGAGTGCTTTTTATGGTTATATATTTAAGGTTCTTCATTCCCTCACAATGGGAGCACTAATGATGTTGGTAAAAAATATACTTGCCATTGTCTAAATACAGTTCAGTTACACTGATGTAGTAGGTTTAACAGTAGCTCCAAGTGCATCAGCATAATAGTGATAACAATCCACAATTATACCCTGAAGTCTAAATAGGATGACTTATCTGAGAATCACCTAAGAAAGTAAGAATTTATAAAGTGACATCTCGTGTTTTGGTTTTAATAGAGAGAGGAAGGGTTATAAAACTGCATATTTGTTTGGAGTTTGTCTTACTGTTTTGTTAGAAATTGCTGGTCAATAGAGTTAATAAGAGCTATTTGGCTACTTTTTACTCCAATTCTTTTCCTCTGTATCAATTTATGCTCAAAGCTATATTATTTCTGCATTTTATAGAGCTATTCCTTAGAATTTAATCTTAAAAGGAGTGCCGACCTGGTTAACATGTAGATATCCAAGATTGTGGCTTTTATGGTCTATGATAAGTGGAGGACTGAGTCCAAGAGGGCAAGTTTCTAATAGGCTGGTCACAATAGGCAGGCTGCAAATACTGTTGCTCCTCTTTTAATAATATAGGAAATGTGTTTTTACTTATCAGAAGGTGAACAGCATTACAATGTATATATTTTTTATTCCTTTAAAATAATATAAACTCTTATTTGTGTGGGACTTTCTAGCTGATAAATAATTTATAATCCATTATTATATTTACCTATTTATATGTGCCAAGAATATGTTAGCTTTGTATCTGAAACCCCAATTTCTTATTCTATAGTCAGTGCACACTTGTCATGAAAAAGCTCCATACAAGAATATAGTGGTGTTTTTAAGGTGATGCAAGGAAGATAAGTATCTTGTAGTTTAGAAGTGTTTTCATTGCCATTGCTTGCTCTTACTTTTAGAAGCAGGCAAGAAAGACTCCTGTGTCTTGTTATGCGAAGAAAGATTACGATCCTTTATAGCCTTGGCACTCTCCTGATAGAAGATGCAGTCATCCATTGCCAGACCACATAGATCCATGAAAGGAACAAAGGGAAAGGAAGAACTGCTCAACACTGGGATTGAATAGGTTTCTGGACACTGCAGCCCAGAGGCCAATCCTGTGTTTTTCTGGCAGATTCCAAGTTTGTCTAGAATTAAGGCATCTTAATGGACACCAGCTAATGCTACTTGCCTATCATTATAATCTCTTGTATCCTACTTACTGTCAGGACAAAAACATGTCTACATAGGGGTGGAGATTGACTCATCCTTATAACTCTGCATCTTCCTTTTATCCCAATAATTTTCATTATGCTTGTGAAGCAGAACCTCTCCAGGGCACATGAGTTGTAGTGCATCTTCTTCTCTTCATAAGTGATTAATGTGTTCTCTTATTCACTTTCTTCTCAGGGGGTGCCTTCTTCTTCATGGGATTATTTTTTCTTTTTATTTCTAAATTGCTTAATTTAACTCTTCTCCTGATACAATCACTGGTCTTTATTTGCATTTTCTCTTCATTTAGGTTTTCTGTAGTCCAACGACCTTATTGGTTATAACTACTTAGTACTTATACCAATTATCAACCCTAATGATATCTCCATAATTCTTTCTTAATTAGATATATCAAATAGTGAAATGACGAGGAATGTAAAATAAATTGATACCTTAAAATAGAGGGACTTCTGGGGATTTTTTTTTATATATATAGTGTGAGGTGTTGATTTTGTGCATGGTGAAAGATAAAGGTCTAACTTCATTTTTTTGTATGTGTATACCTATGTTCTCCAACACCATTTGTTGAAGAAATATTCTTTCCCCATTGTGTAGTCTTGTCACCCTTGTTGCATATAATTTTACGGCATATGAATGTGTTTATTTTTTACTCTGTTCTGATTCATTGGTCTGTATGTCTATCTTATGCCAATACCCTACTGTTTTGATTACTGTAGATTTATAATATGTTTTGAAGCCAAGAAGTGTGAAGCTTCCAAATTTGTTCTTCTTTCTCAAGATTGTTCTGGCTGTTCAGAGTATGTGGTTCTTTATGAATTTTAGGACTTTTTTCTTTCATTTTTTGCAAAAAATGCCATTGGGATTTTGATAAGGATTGCATTGAATCTGTAGATTATGTTGGGTAGTATGGAAATCTTAGTAATATTAAGTCTTCCAATCCATGAAGACAGGATTTCTTTCTACTGCTTTTTTTTCTTTCATTTCTTGTAATGAGGTTGTGTGGTTTTCAGTGTGCCAGTCTTTTGTCTCTGGTTAATTTATCCCTAAATATTTTCTTGGTTTTGGTGCTGCTAAAATGAGATTGTTTTCTTATTTCCTTTTCAGATTATTTGTTGTTAGTGTGTGGAAATACAACTGATTTTTTTGTATGTTGATTTTCTATCCTATAACTTTGCTAAATTTGTTTATCAGTTCTAACAGTTTTGCATCTTTATGGTTTTATACAGGATCGTGTCATATGCCTAGAGAGACAGAAGTTTAACTTCTGACTTATGTTTTGTTTTGTTTTAATTTCAATTAGGAGAGTGATAATAATTTCCTTTGTATATTTCTTAAAGCCCCCCCCCCCCCCCCGAATGTGACTGCAGTTGTAATTCAAAGACACATTCTAACAGTTAAGACCACAGTCTTCCCATCTGTGGAAAAGGTATGTAAGAGGAGGACTTAGGGCCCATAATATTTGACCCCTACAAATCTACTTTATGAAATACATATCAACAAGGTAGTCACTTTACAGAAGAGAAAACTGAGGTTGAAGCTTATGCGACTTACTTGTATAACATAGTAACTAATAATACCATAACAGTTTTCTCATTCACATATCTTGTAGAATAAATGTACAGACTATGAATTTTAGCTTAGTTTTGCTACATTTTCCTTGCTAATTTTTCTTTAATTCTTCTAATAAAAAAGTTTGCTTTTTATATCTGAGCATTAATCTACAAATGGCTGGGAAAATTGATGAAAATCTTCTGTAATAGGAATTAGGTAGCCTGGATAACCACACTTACTGAGGAAAATTGACAAATAATTACAACTTGACTATTGTTGTTTGTACTTCTTGCATTATATAGAGGTGCTATATATTTATTAAAATTTTTAATTACATGTTATATTCATTTTT